AAGTAAGTTTAGAAGTCTGATGCTGTAAACTTATTGCTTCTGTAACTCTTAATTCAAAGAGTTATTTTATTTAAAAGTTCGGTCATTATATTTAGAGTAGGCTGAAAATTTTCAGCAAATACCAGGTATATTTGTACCTGAATTTTAACATACTCTAATTAAAATTTCTAAACGTAACAAAGACGTTGTCCTGTAAAATTGATACGGTGTGTTATAAAAATCTTAGATCGCAGTACTGAATGCGAGTGCTCTAGAACGAGAAAGCTTACATTTTAAAAAACGGGTAAAAATATACGGTTGCAGTTACAGAAGGGAACTTCAAAAGAAATAAAAAACAAAAGGAGCAAAAATACGCTGTTAGTTGGCTCAACCTTACAAGATATAAAAAAAAAAAAAAAAAAAGAAAAATATACAAAAAGCAAGCCCTTTGAAATAAGGATACATAAAGGCGCACTCATATTTTATAACTGTATTTATCAATACGCTATATATATATATACATACTAAGTAATATTCGTAAATACATAAACATTAAAATAATTGAAAAACGACTGTGATATCGAACGATCTTGCGACATTCAATTTCCATGTGAATTGATAAATGAACAATTTAACGAAATACAAATATTAAATGTATTAATTAATCGGTATTGAATGTCAGGAAAAGCATTAAGCTCAGTTATGCGAGCCAAGAATGGAAATATTAAGTCGTTAAAAGTGAATGGAACATCAAGAACAACGTGGCTGTTGTCCGATCGGGGAGGGCTGAACGCTAGCCTCTTACAGTCCTAAAAACATGTTTTTGGGGCATTGTTTCTACTTAAAATAAACGCGCATTAATAATAGATAATAACGGCGAAACGCGTCATTACTGGTTGATGATGTTGGTAGGGCTTTATAGAATGTGTCGATATCTTTTGTGCAAACGAGTCGGATTCTTACCTAATCTATGTGAGAAAAAGTACAAATTCAATTTGCGTGACAACTGACAGGATTTTTAGACATGTCATACTTATACCTGTTATATTAATAGATTTATAGTGCAATCGCGTGCGTGAATCGTATGCCGTGTGACAGTGGACCAAGGTGTGAATGCCTCTTTGACGGGGAATAATTATTTCAACTAGAACTTTCAAATAGTGTTACGAATAATATTGTTGGCTTCCGACCATGGTGTGTGTGGTTTCAAATTCTAATATGATTGATTTATCATCGAGTCTGTTTGTCAACTCGGAGGCCCTGCCAAGAACATTACAAGAAGAATTCACAACGAAAAGTGATCCATCACTTTTTCGTTATATAGTGTACAATTTTACGGCACAATTGTTTAGTTGGACCTTAGTCTATATAAGAGAGTAGATCATGCCGTAATATTACTATTATTATTACGATTAGTACCACTACCGCTATTATTCTTACTTTACTATTATTATTCATTTTTTTTTTTTTTTTGACAAGGTGGTACTATATGCGCAAACTTTGCATAACGACTTTGCTGTATTGCGTTGCGTTATTTTATTGCGATAGAAAAAGAATAAGTGACATTTGGACACTATTATCTCGAATTTTTTTTAAATATATATATATATGTATATATATATATATATATACATATATACATCTTTTTTCTTTCTTTTTGTTTNTCTATATATATATATATATATATATATATATATATATACATATATATATACATACATACATATAATTATATATTTATAATTATATATATATATCTATAATTATATAAAATATATATATATATTATATATATATTTTTTTTGTTTTTTTTTGTTTTTTTTTTTTTTTTTTTTTT